AGAATAGTTTATAATTTAGTTAAACAACTGTTTGAATTTAATGTTTAGTTTTACATTTTTAACTGATATTTATTTGTTTATCTTAATGAGACATCTGCTAAATAGTTAATTCAAGATATTTATTTTCTTATACTACTCATACACATTATAGGCTTTTGTTAACATTTTATTAGTATTATTAAAAATACTATTGAACAAAATTTATCAGAATCTGTCTTGATCTTTGACAATGACTATGCCACTGAAACCTTGTTCTGATTTTAATGGAAGTTAAACTTGATCAGAGAATTGAGACTACAGACTAGACTATAGACTTAATTATAGAATAGACTATTGAGTAGACTATAGACTAGACTATAGACTAGACTATAGACTGGACTATAGACTAGACTATAGACTAGACTATAGACTAGACTATAGACTAGACTATAGACTGGACTATAGACTAGACTATAGACTAGACTATAGACTAGACTATAGACTAGACTATAGACTATACTATAGACTGGACTATAGACTAGACTATAGACTAGACTATAGACTAGACTATAGACTAGACTATAGACTAGACTATAGACTAGACCATAGACTTGACTATAGACTAGACTATAGACTAGACTATAGACTAGACTATAGACTAGACTATAGACTAGACTATAGACTAGACTATAGACTAGACTATAGACTAGACTATAGACTAGACTATAGACTAGACTATAGACTAGACTATAGACTAGACTATAGACTAGACTATAGACTAGACTATAGACTAGACTATAGACTAGACTATAGACTAGACTATAGACTAGACTATAGACTAGACTATAGACTAGACTATAGACTAGACTATAGACTAGACTATAGACTAGACTATAGACTAGACTATAGACTAGACTATAGACTAGACTATAGACTAGACTATAGACTAGACTATAGACTAGACTATAGACTAGACTATAGACTAGACTATAGACTAGACTATAGACTAGACTATAGACTAGACTATAGACTAGACTATAGACTAGACTATAGACTAGACTATAGACTAGACTATAGACTAGACTATAGACTAGACTATAGACTAGACTATAGACTAGACTATAGACTAGACTATAGACTTGACTATAGACTAGGCTATAGACTTGACTATAGACTTGACTATAGACTAGGCTATAGACTTGACTATAGACTAGACTATAGACTTGACTACAGACTAGACTATAGACTTGACTACAGACTAGACTATAGACTTGACTATAGACTAGATTATAGACTAGACTATAGACTAGACTATAGAATAGACTATAGACTAGACTATAGACTAGAATATAGACTAGACTATAGACTAGACTATAGACTAGATATAGACTAGACTATAGACTAGACTATAGACTAGACTATATACTAGACTATAGACTAGAATATAGACTAGACTATAGACTAGACTATAGACTAGACTATAGACTAGAATATAGACTAGACTATAGACTAGACTATAGACTAGACTATAGACTAGACCATAGACTAGACTATAGACTAGACTATAGACTAGACTATAGACTAGACTATAGACTAGACTATAGACTAGACTATAGACTAGACTATAGAATAGACTATAGACTAGACTATAGACTAGACTATAGACTAGACTATAGACTAGACTATAGACTAGACTATAGACTAGACTAGACTATAGACTAGACTATAGACTAGACTATAGACTAGACTAGACTAGACTAGACTAGACTATAGACTAGACTATAGACTAGACTATAGACTAGACTAGACTATAGACTAGACTATAGACTAGACTATAGACTAGACTATAGACTAGACTATAGACTAGACTATAGACTAGACTATAGACTAGACTATAGACTAGACTATAGACTAGACTATAGACTAGACTATAGACTAGACTATAGACTAGACTATAGACTAGACTATAGACTAGACTATAGACTAGACTATAGAAGACTAGACTATAGACTAGACTATAGACTAGACTATAGACTAGACTATAGACTAGACTATAGACTAGACTATAGACTAGACTATAGACTAGACTATAGACTAGACTATAGACTAGACTATAGACTAGACTATAGACTAGACTATAGACTAGACTATAGACTAGACTATAGACTAGACTATAGACTAGACCATAGACTAGACTATAGACTAGACTATAGACTAGTTTTGTACTGTAAACTAACTGTAAATGACACTATAGAGTAGACTACAGTCTAGACTAGACAATAATCTTGACCATAGACTTGACAATAGTCTTTATTACAGACTAGACTATAAACTTGATTATAGACTAGACTTTAATTCTTGAGCATTGACTGGAATATAGTCTTATAGTCTGGATTAAATACTAGGTTATAGTCTTTACTATAGACTAGACTATAGTTTTAACTATAGACATAGGTCTTGGCTATTGACTATACTATAGTCTTGACTATAGACTAGACTATAGTCTTGACTATAGACTATACTACGTCTTAACCTTGACTATAGAATAGATCATAGACTTTACTATAGGCTAGATTATAGTCTTGACAATAGACTATAGACTTGACTATAGACTAGATTATAGACTAGACTATAGACTAGACTATAGACTAGACTATAGACTAGACTATAGACTAGACTATAGACTAGACTATAGACTAGAATATAGACTTGACTATAGACAAGACTATAGTCTTGACTATAATATAGAATATAACATTGACTATAGACAAGAGCCAAGTCTTGACTATAGATAAGACTATAGTCTTGACTGTAGACTAGACTATAGACTTGACTATAGACTAGACTATAGACTTGACTATATCTTAATCTTGAATATAGACTATACTTTAGTCGTAACTTGACTATGATCATGACTAAAGACTAGACATTATCTTAATCTAGACTATAAACTAGACTTTAGACGTGACTATAGAATAGACTATAATATTGACTATACACAAGAGTCTAGTCTTGTCTTAAGACTTGACTATAGTCTAGACTACTATTGGTATATAATTCTCCCCAAATATTCGCTGCTAATACAAAACTATAGTTTTTTATATGATTGAGGGCGTCATTAAATATTTTTCCCGTTATAAAGATTTTCATTATTTTTCAAATTTTAAGAAGCTGTCTGTCAAACTTCTAGAATTTAATTGATTGATGATATTTTACACAAATATTTCTAATATGAATCATGTTATAGATTATTTGATCTACAAGTCTAACTCCGCCTCAAATAGCTATTTACACTCTTTTCCATTTCTATTAAATATAAAAAAAGCTGTAAAATGAAAAACATTTCAAGTTTTATTTAAAGTTTACTTAATTTTTTAACATTTCTATAAACGTCTTACAATCGATCTAAAAAAAAAACTAAATTAGAAAAAAAAGTAACAAAGAAGAAGAAGGAAAAAAGATCTTGTCAATAAAAACCTTAAATGTAACATGTTTAACAAGAAAATTTAAAACAAATTGTGGGGCATACCAACACGTTTTGAGGTGTTTTTTTTTTAATTTTTCAGCATTTTAGGATGACGAACGTAATAATGAACTTTAGAGACAAAAAAAAAACAATAAAAACGATTTCTTTAAAATTGATTTATGGTATAAAATAAAATTGTTTACTATAAATTTGAGTTGTTGTTGTTGTTGTGATGGTTATTTGAATTTTCTTTGGAAATTCTAAATCTTGAGAATAAAAGATGTTATTGAGTATTTGTTTGAACCTCTACAACTAATAGCTGGAATCACTGAAATCCCAGAAATGGTCATTAAACTTTTTTTTTCAAATTTGTTGCAAGTTGCAAGCAACAGCCGCCGCTGGGCAAGCAACAACAATCTTACTTTTTTTTATGTGTTGGGGAAAATGTTGTCAAACAAGAACAAACCTTGCTTCAAGTGTTTAGGTTCGATCAAACATGTTGCTTGCTAACTGATCGTTGTATTTTTGTGTATGTTTATTAAGTTTTGTGGCTTAAACCAAATAGTTTAAGACGAACTTTTGACGGTTAAACAACATGCCAACGGATTATGAATTTTTATAAACGAGCGCGTACGGTTTATTTTTCTTCTTCTTCTTTCTATACAAATTCAAATGAGATCTAAACAAAACAAGTTGTGTAGCGGTTTGAAAGTCTGTCAAAACTCTTTAAGAGTTTGGGATTAAAGTGTCAACTGTTTGTTTTTTAAAGAAACGAAATAATATTAAAAAAAAAGTAATAGTAGACCGTTTTATATTTTTTTTATATAATTATGTTAAATTATACATTTTTAAATTATTTATTGTGTTTAGTGTTAATGTTTATACAACAATAAAAAAAAACAAATATTTATTTGATATGAAGAAAACCTTTTAATGAAAAGAAAAATGTTTGAAATTTGTATAAATTTTTTTGTTTGTTAGTTGGTAAACAAAGTGTAATATATATATGAAAGTATGAAATTTGAATAAAGACCCCACAAACCAAGGTTAATCTCTGTGTTTAAATCATAATAGAAAAAAAATTGAAATTACAAAAAAAATAAATGGCCCGTTAACTGGATTTCCAAGAAATTGATATAATCTGGAAAAAAAATTGTTGTAAAAGAAAATTGTGAGAAAAAATTATTTAAACCAACTGAGAATTATTAGAAAAGTGGACTTTGATATCGATATTTAGCTAAACTAACTGAGAATTATAACAAAGTTTGTGTGAAAGAACTTTCAAACGCCGGACTCAGTTCTAAAACGCGAAAATTATAAACTTTCATGGACTGTCAAGGAACTGTAAATATTCTCAATAAAAAAATTATAAAAAACGGGACATAAATATCCAAAGTTTGAGCTATATAACAGAAAATCCCAAAAAATTCGTCAAATTTATAATAAAACTCAACGAAAACGGTTCAAAATTTATAAAAATAGCGAACTTAACGAAAATAAAACTAAAAACGAAGAAAAATCTTCAACAAAATCTAAAAAAATAAGAAAGTGAAAAATATTGCAAAAAAAATTTTAACGAAAACTGAGAATTCTAAAAAAAATTTAAACGAAACTAAAAACTTAACTCAAAAAAGTACAAAATTTACAACGAAAACTATCTAATTTACAAAAAAACATAAGACCCCCCATGAAAACCTATCCTAGACCTCATAAAATGCCCTCTATATGCCCTAAAACGGAATAAAAGTAAAAAAACAGCAAAATGCATCGCATACAACGAAAACCTTCTAGTGAAACTTTAACCAGTGTGGGTATGGATAGCACCCTGGACTCGCGTATGTCTAGTGCTGAAGTACCACAAATGGAATTGCTAAAGGTCAATTATGTTCACCAATGCAAAGAGGCGTTTATGACTAAAACCGGTTCAGTACCCAATTATAATTTTATGGAATTTAAAAAATGTTCTCCACATACTCTAAGCAACATAACACACGCCCTACCGGCCGTAACACGTAAGAATATAGCCCGGGTAACGGTAAATCGTCTGGAGGCTCCTAATAAACCTTTGCCACCACCACCACCCACTGTGGAATCTTGGCAGTTTTTGCAAAATTCCAAACGTACTACCAATTCACCGCCGAAATTTATTAAGCCACCTCAGGAAGAAAAGAATGATGGTTCTTCTTCATCCTATTGTCCCTCGACATATGATGGGGCCTCCGAATCGGATGCCACCTTAACGGGAGATGGTGTTAAGTCTAATAGTTGGAATTATCGCAATAAAATGTCGACATGTGACATAAGAAGAGATATGGCTAGGGCTGGTATAAAGTCAAGGGCAGATCGTATAGCTCGTATAGAGCGAACAGAGTGTGAGCATAGTAAACCCGAAAGAGAGCCCGCCATAGAAAGAACCGCTGATAGTAATGTTAATCCCAAAGAAGCGGTAGCCAAAATCAATCAAATGTTTGAGGCACAAAAACAAATAAAAAACTTTCCGCCACAACCCAACCGGCCGGCACCAGTGCCCCACAAAGAACCCAATCGTCGACTTAAACCACCCAACCCGCTTAAAGATTCCACACAAGTAAGGAGTTCATTAAACAAGACTAACGATTGTTCAGAGTGTTCGGAATGCTCTCAAGAATCTTCACGCACTAATTCATCTTGTTCGGAAAGTTGTTCCCTAATAAGTCAAGAGACTGTACAATATAGGCGCAGTGAATCTAAAGATCGTAGAGCGGTATCACGTATACCCAAACCTATACCCGATAAACACTCCTCACGTACACTAATACAAAGTAATATGCATAAAACGGAAAGTGAACGCTCGAAAAGAAATGATAGAATACAAAAATCCAAATCCATAGAACAGTTAAGTGATCTGGATAAAGAAAGCCAAACGGCACAAGAAAGACACTCTTTGGGTATAGATCAACAGCTGCTGAGGAATACCCGCATTTCAGTGGGTAATTATCAAAAAGCCAAAGTGGAACGAGTGCATATACGTAAGAAACGTCAGCCGCTTTTGATAATCAATCAATTAAATGAACCAGAAGTGAAACGGAATGAAGAGGGACAAGTGGAACGTAAATCAACTTGTGGTTATAAAAATTGTAGTTTTGACAATTGTCCCATGTCGCCAGCGGATCATGAAAATAAACACAAACCTTTTGAAGATGACTGCAATAAATTGAAACGTTTATCATTGGAAAGTAACTCGGATTCGGGTGTCTCCTCTTCGCATGACTTTAAAGACGATAAGAAAAGATTATCGCAGCTAAAAAACATCGATAAGTGTTCGGATGTTAAACAAACACATAAAAAGGCATTAAATAAATCCGAACACTTTGAAAATTATGCCTATGAAAAGTTCAAAACCGATAAAACCGAAACAAAAGAGCCTAAGAACACGGCAACACAAGTGAAAATAGTGCAGAGCTCATTTAACACGCACTACAATACAGCCGATCCCAATGATGTTAGCAATTTTGCCAAAAAGAATCTCACCAAGGCCACTACCAATGAGGCTTTAAATAATTCCTCTTCCCTGGTAAAAACTACAACCAAACAGTGCAACATAGAAAATGAGCAAAGATTGAAATATCAAAATAATTTACAAACCCCCAGTAAAACTTCAACGACCCATATCAAAATCGAAGACGACTGGGTAAAGGAGGAGGCTGTCGAAAATCAAGAAGATTATATAGAATGTGATTCTTTAATGATTACCGAGAAACCCATAAGAAAACCCATTAATAGCAATGATAATGCGGTAAAGATCTTTGTTAGAAGTTCTCAACAATCCAATGATTTGTGTAGATCTTCCTGTGCCTCAGCCAACTCTTTTGTTTCACAAACTTCTGTATGCACACAAAATTCTACCACCTCCAACAGTTCTTTAACCAGCTCTTCGGCCTCTTCGGTAACCTCTTCGGGTTGTGGTAGTTCTAATGCTGACAATCAATCGCTATGTGATTCCGAAAGAGATTGTTGTTGTCAACTTACCAATACGGCGGGTATGTTTTTCAACAGACCCTGTTCGGCTCTTAGTCATGAACATCAACGACTATGTGCCGGCTCTCCTCTATCTTCTACAGATGCTATAAGCGATATAAGCAGCTGTGTAACTTGTTCCACAAATTCCAGTACAGTTATATCACCCCTAGCACTAGCTAACACCGTACAATGTTGCAATAACAGCAATGGAGTATTTTGGAATAATTCCTATATGTCAATAGAAGCTCAAGAAGAGAATAATTTACCACCTTGCTGCTGCAGTGTATCATCATGTGATGATGACAATTGTTCTTATTATGAAGGAGAAAATAATAGCAAAGGCACAGGTAATGAACTTGTTGTGCGCTCTAGAGAAAGTGACAGTACAAATAGAATTAATGAGGGTAGAGTTGGTGGTGGTGGTGTTGCCGGTAGTGACAAAGAGAATAAAAAGGAGCTAAATCTTACATATCAAAAGCATCATACAACACAGCAGCAAATGCGAAATCTATCGTATCAAAATCAACATCCCACACAACAGCAACATCAAACGAAACGTAATGTACGCAATAGTAGTGCTGAAGAGATATTAATACGTAATCAATTGTTAAGAAAG